ATTTGCTTGGAACGGTAGCTGCGGGACGCGATGTGGAGTTTGAGGTAGGACCCCGTCGCTGCGTAGCTAGACCCAGCCAGGGGTGTGGGTTTGTGTAGGTTGGGGTAGGACTTATGGACATTGCGGATCCTGCATCTTAAAAACTCCAGTGTTAGGACAACAATATCCAGTGTGGCTGGATGGATTGCTATTCTGAAGTGAGAATTTAAGAAAGAAAAAAGGATGTCTCACCGTCTGGTAATAGAATTTTCTGCTCTTTAGACGCAGATGGCCCGTAGGAATCCGAGTCTTGAATTGGTCTTGAGGATGAAGCGCTTGGTATATGTCTTGAATCTACAAGCACTGAAATGGGCGAAGAAGATTTCTTTCGCACTGGCACTGGGACTGGCTCAACTTCCCTAGTCGTCAAATTTGTTGCAAACGTAGTCTTTTTCCTTTGTGGCCTCTCAGATGCGGATTCTCCCATAGGAGATTCATGACCTACGATTAGTGAGGGCGACGTAGGTGACTTATGTGACATGCCACCCTCAATACTATTAATCACAGAAGATCTTGGGGTCTTCTGCGACTCATCAGATACTTGACGCGGCTTCTTCAAGATGGGAGGAGGCAGCGGTGTCCGACTCGCAGGTCCTGATGATTTTCGAGATACCCTTAGGCTATTTCTTAGAGTGGTTTTTGGGGTGGGACTCTGTGGCTGAAGGCATTTAGTAGATGAAGCTGGGGTTTGTCGTCTTGACGAAATCCGCGGCGTTGATTGAGAGACCTAAGAATATCAGAAGGCCTTCCTCTTAAATTCGTATTCTCCATCCGGGCCAACGTACTTCTCGTAACCTTCGCGGGCTCAATCTGGTAATGCTTTCTCCTTCAGCGATATGTAAGAAGAGTCTAGCTAACGTGGTGCCTTGAAGAGAACGGAAAATGGATTGGTTGCTCCATATTCTCCAGAATAGATTCTCCAATCGCCTCCCCTCATCTTCCTTCAAAGTGGACCTGTTGGTGGTGTAGACTGGCACACGAAAGAAAGGCGTCAGAATATATTAAGGTTTCTCCACTTAGTTTTTTTAAACCGCACATTCTTTTCCTCTTATATCCAGGAATACTTGCTCTTTCTTTGCTTTCTTTGGTCCTTGAGAATGTGAAAATGGAAATTATCCTTACCTCGCCATAACTTTGCGAGATCTTCAGCGTCTATACCGCCAAAGTTCTCGATCTCGGAACTAATACGTGCGGTGTGCAAGACGATACCTTTGGGTAAAGCTTCCGTCATGGCAACAACCACTAAGATAACAAAGACTGCCAGACCCAAAATCGCAAGATCCACTTCTCTTCAGTTTGACAGCCACACAACTAAAGTATCTTCATGAATAAGGATTAGGCAAACTCAACAAATTCTAAAACCACACACAAAAACTGTCATAGGTATACAATGTTGGAAGAGAATAGGTGCGAGCAAAAATGAAGAATCGTCGTAACTTGTGAGAAGGTGGGGTTGTGTGGGGGAGAGAAGAAAAAAGATTGGCAGTGAGAGAAGACAGCAAAAGTAAAACAGATCAACACCAGACAAGGAGAAACAGATACTGGACTGAGAGCAGCTGAACCTCACGGTTCAGCAGGTGTATGGAGATTGGGACAGAGCATTCCACAGCCGGACACATGGAACAGCCTAATTTGAAATGATGATGCAGCAAGAGGATGTGAGAGCAAGCATGCGGTCACACAGAGAAGATGGGTAAAAGAAATGGGAGCAGTATACAGACAGGATGGGATGGCTGGAAAAAAGTGAGAGTTTATGGACGGAGGAAACGGTTTGGGAGTTGGTCTCACGTGAGCTTGTCCAGGTGACCTCGTCGGTGGATGTGGGACTTGGGGCGGGGGGATTGCTGGAGCGACAGGGGAAGAAAGAATAAATTGACGCAAAGAAGTGGCAAATGATTGAAATTGAGCGGTCAGGTTAATGTGATTTGCTTGTTGTTTGTTGCTGTGCCTCCTTGAGACTGCGGCTCCAGACCAGCACTGAGACGGTGGTGTCGACGGTGATTCAAGTCACTCAACAGCGTCGACAAGGAGCTACAGTGTAGTCCTGTTTCAGCATGTCATCAAGGATTTGCAAGGCCTCGAACCATACAGCTGCCCCGGGAAGAGCGCAGCAGCTGAAACAAAGAGTTCGGGGACCAGACGAGCAAGCGCCAAAGTAACCGGAGAGATGGTTAGGGTTCGATGGCAAATTTAAGTGCTAGGGATTGGACAGCGATGGACGGCTATGGACAGCTCCGTTGAAGATGACAGAGGCACGGGAAGCAAAGTCAAATGCTGAATGGTGTACCCAAGGCAAAGATGAACAAATATAGGAGGACGCTGCAGCTACAGGTAAGGAAGAGGAGCCAAATAATAGGACAGGGAGAAAGCGGAGGAGAATGCAGATGCAGAGTCGAGATTGAAATCAACAGAGACAAAGTCGGCTAGTCATGTGGTCTCAATACCGCAGGCAGCACTAGGACACGACGGACAAGCAATTAGGTAACAGGCAATCATGTCATAAGGAAATAGCAAAACTGCGAAACAGTAATGGAACAATTACTACACGATGCATAAAGAGCAAAACACCTAATAATAAAAAGGGAAGGGGATGAAGAATATTCAAAAGAGAAAGAAAGATAGCAATGGAGCAACGGAAGGAAGAAGAAGAAGAAGGCTATTATTCTATTTACAGTATCAGGGCAAATAATCCGGGGGAAATAGTGTTGAAAACTGGATCGTTGCATCAGATCTGCTCCTATGTCACTTCACTAACCGGGAATGTTATTTGATTAACATGATTTCTCGTCAGCACTATTCAGCTGCAACGAACGCCGTGGTTGCAGTCTTGTAACTACCCTTCGTGGACGCGAACTGAATCAGACAGCTAAGATGAGAACAAGCAGTAAAGACGACGATAACAAGTTGGGTTGTTGATTCCGGGTTACCATCACATCTCTCCAGCATCCATGCGGACCGTATTCCATCTCCAGAGGGAACCGCGTTTTACCGCGCTTTTTGGTTGCGGCATGGAGTGGATCAGTGGCGGATGGATGAAAGCCTGTGGACAAAAGGTCTAGAAACGCGGACAACCCTCATAAGCCCGGGTTATCCCTGACCAACGTGCGCTAGGTTTTCGCTTAGACGAGATGGCGGGAATATTTTCCACGCTGCTTCTAGAAAGATAGCGTGTTCCATGCTAATTGCTTGAGGACTTTTTTCTCCTTGGACAGTTGAACTCCCAAACATGGCTTTGGACCTTGCAGTTTTGTGCAAGAAAATAATGCAACTGGAAGTTGGGGATTTGATTGGTGCCCAGCGCCGCTCGTGGAAATAAATACCTCCCAGGAACCGGAGTTGATACATAGCTGCTGAGTACGTTACGATTAATTCAAGGGTGCCCTTCGTTCATCTTGATCATGCGTTCAGTAAATAATAATAATAATAATAATAATAATAATAATATAAATATAAATAAATAAATAAATAAATAAATAAATAAATAAATAAGTAAATAAGTAATAAATAATAAATAAGAAGCACGCCGGTCCCGTCTGCAGTGGCTGATTCGCTGAGACCAGCCTTGCCTTGTGACATGTAGACGTGAATCACCTTCGTGCGGCCGATTAACAGAATACCCACCAAAAACTACGTCAAAACTCCCGCTCTTCCTTTTATTCCTTATTTTTGTGAATTTCGGAACTAGTTTGCTCTAAAACACGCTACCAAATTGAGTTTTGTATTGTAAATTAGCAGTAGAAAGATATACAAGAATTTGGGGTGGAGAAATGGGGCAACTTTTAATTATAAATAGCTTCAAAATAACCTGCAGAGAATAAATAGCAGGAGAACAAGAACAATGATCAGAGAATACTAAGCCAATGAGATTCTACACTCTGCAACGTTTGATATGACAACTCTGACAGTCAACCTTTCTTGTGTTTTAGTTTGAGTTCCGTTTCCCCTGGCTTACTTCTTCCGCCTGCAGGATATCAATGTCGATCAGTCTGGACCGCCGAGGTAATTCCATGGTGAAAACCGCGGATCAATAGCGTTGTGCTGTTCTTAAGGGCTTTTGTCGACAAACCTTCTTGAAGAAACTTGATTGTTGAATGTGGAGATATGGCGCTGATCAGCACGGAGTAACTCGATAGCTAACTCTGAAAGAAAGGAGAACGAGGAGTCACCAACTGTATTATTGGACGGAGTAAACAAGCAGAATAACCCTCATTTCCAGCCACACTTCTTTCACTTTGCTTCGACTCTTCGCAGGGCTTTTGGCTGAACGCAAAACTCTGCCAATGATATACGGCATACCCGGCCTGTGGGAGGTGACTAACGTTAAAGAGTTCAACTTGGCCGCTTGTTTATCAGGATACGAATCTCGTCCTGACTCCCTCCTTTTTCCTGGACCACTCAGTGCTTCTATCGTCAAATAGCGGTTAATCGAGTTTCACCTCTGGACCGCCACATTCAAGATGCTCTCCCTCTCCCCACCTAGTTTATGGTGGTGGTGGCAATGGAATGGAATGGACAGGGAACGGTCTGGGATTCTCATACGGTTTGCGTGTCCAGATTAGCATAACCCTATCAGACTCCTTTGTTCCACTCCGAGTTTTATTTTCAACCAACCCTGTTGCTTGTCTTTTAACCTTCTGGGAGCGAGGAAGAGCGATTCATTTCCCTCACTTGGCTCTAATGAGAGCTGGCAGAGGGCGGACCTACAGAAGGAATTGCTGGCTGGGGTGAGCTCCATCAGTGGCTTCCAGTACTAGTCAGATGGCACATTCCAACCACTTTATATTTACGCTTGATAGACATATGTATATATATATATATATATATATATATATATGCTAATGGACAGAATCTATTTAGGGCCTATCGTTTCTTTATGGAGGAGGAAGATTGAGCATTTACTGTTGGGACATGAGTCCACTAGTTAATACCCTCAAACATCAATCTAGGCCAACAAGAACGAATCAAGCATCGTAGCGTGGTTGAAAACCACCTAGGGAGCTGCTGTTTCCTCTAATCCTGTAGCCAGTGTAATGGTTCTCGGAAATGTTGTTACATTTCTTAAGATTTGGGGTGGGATTTCACATTGTGGATTATTTTGATATTTCTTTTGAGAGTTAATTTAACTAGGGGTGGTTGAACCAACCGCCCAAGTTGATTTTCGATATTCTTGATTCACGCCTGTTGATATTAAATACGCCAAAGCTAAACAATAGAGTATTTTAAAACTGTCAAACACAAGTGGCAGAAAAATTTGGCAATATCTAATAAATGCCCTGGTGGATACAGATGCGACCCGAATTGATGTTCCAAGGCAGTTATTTGGAAGAGCAGTGGCATTCCATTCTATATGACCCCTTTATTTTAAAGATTGGCTGAGACTGAATTGAAACATTCTTCATGTAGACTCCTTTTAATCCATCATCTCCCTCTGGGACGTACGTAGATAATATACTCAAATCCATGTTCACACCCATTCACTGAAAAGCAATGTCAATTTTAAAAGCTTACTTAGGCACAGACATAATTAGTGTCCGCCGCCCTCTACCCGGGTCCAACGTCCCTTGTGCAATGTCTCCTGCTCTAGCCGTCGCCGGACAATCACCCTCTCCAAATCTGCATATTCCGTTGGCAAATATATTTTGCCTAGAATAGTAGCGGTCTGAAGTCCTGCAGCCATGTCTGAATGGTAGAATTGAGCTTCTCATATACTTCAAGTTTTATCTTATCAGATTTCTCAAAAACTGTCCAATAAGACCTGTCTTATTTTAAAGTTTTTGCATGGGGAGTTGGTTCCACGGTTGCCATAAAGCTAAATTAGAGCGCCTGGCATCATTGCTTTAACTGATTGTGATTTGGATCAAGGTGAACAGTTGATAGACTGAATTGAACATTCATTTGCATGAATATTTTCCATTGTATATATTTATTTCATACAGTTCCTCAGAGAAGAATGAAATAGTGCAGGAGGCAAACCTACTGCTTTCATGATACAGTGCATGGACTGTACAATATATCAAGTGTGAAGGAGCAATAATCCGAAGCAACAACAATTAGATCTCCTTGAAGACCCGCTCAGAGCTTCCTCCGTAATAATGTAGAAGTAGAGGCTGTTCACAAACCCTGAGGGTATCTGTAACCCCACCAGCAACACTCATTAATCAGATAAGCTCTGAAAATTTGCCTAGCGTTCTCCACTTAATAGCCAATTGACGATTTCATACTTGACCACACACACACACACACACACACACACACCCCCAAAAAAAAATAAAAAAAAATAAAAAAAAAAAAATAAAACCCATTTCATATCCAGGGTGACCCCCAAGCTCTAACCCCCGTATTTTTTTCTTGTTGTGGAGTGGGGATTTGTGAAGGTTTTGAGGGGCTGATTCCCGGACCAATGACCATACGCGGGATACATTTGTTAGCTGGGCAGAAAAATAAATGCTGTGCGATTTGTTTGCATTGTTGATTCTAGGTTGACAATAGAACAAACTCAACTCTAGGGAAAGATATGAAGGGCATGGAACCAACAGGCCATGGTCGTTAATAATCTAGAAGATGATAACTGGTTAAGTAAAATATACAGTAGTAGAAAAGTACGAATGGCAGGGAAAATATCGCAAACACTCTCAGAAACATCAATAACAACTAGAGGGGCAGTCAGCAGACGTCCGCTTTATATTTGAAGTACGAAGAAAAGCCGTTACAATGCCTCAAATTATCCAAACTGAACTATAAAAAAAATAAAAATAAAAATAAAAGGCAGCAAGGAGAGGTTAAATCAAACAGAAGAAAGGTTTTAAAACGCCCAAACCAACGCAGTAAGTACTATTACCCTCACTATTATTATTACTATCTCTATTAGTATCATTATCAATGCCTACGTAAGGGTATATCCGCCATCAACCCTCAGATCAGCACCGGTGATATACTTGCTCGCATCGCTGAGCAGAAATGTGACGGCACCCATGAGGTCCTCCGGAACACCCATTTTTCCCTGTGGGATGAGAGAGGTCCATTGGCGGTTGAGGTCCGGGTTATCGTCAAGGATTTTGCGGGTTCTGGGTTCGTGTGACTATGGTTAGTTTTATGTAGGCGGAGTAGGGGCCGTCGTCTCAAACAAGACGAGGAAGAAAGAAGGAAATAAAAGAACTGACAACGCTGTCAACATATACCCGGGACTAATACAATTAACCCGAATATTCGCACTCGCCCATTCAACCGCCAACGACGCAGCGAGATGCCGTACGGCCGCCTTCGCCGCGTTGTACGGGGCTTGCGGCTGTGGTACGTTGACGATGGAACCGGACATGCTACCGATCATGACGATGGAGCCGGGAGACTTGCGCTCGAGTAAGTGTTTTGCAACACCTACAGCGAACAGGTAGGAACCGTCGACGTTTACACCCCATAATTTCTTCATGCGGTCGTATGGGTAAGAGATTGCGTCGAAGTTTTCGGTGAAGCCGGCGGAAGTGACAAGATTGTCAATGCGGTTGTGGGAGGCGAGGATGTTGGAGATGCAGGCATTTACGGAGTCGGGGTTGGCGACGTCGGCATAGTGGGAGGTTATTTTGGGCATGCTGGAGAATCGGGATGGTTAGACTTAGGACAGAGAGGGCCGTTGTTTTCAGGGAGGGGGTAAAAATTTACACTTCAATGCCTGGATTTTCCTCCTTATGCTGCGCCAACAGTTTCTGTACCTGCACATCTGCTTCCTCCTCTGATATTATATACTTAGCATATGAAGTAGATCTAGATACAGCAATAGAGATGCGGTCATATACATGCGTTGTCACATGGCTGATAAAGGGGACAGGTGGATAGGAGTACATTACATTGCTGCCATCCAGCAGCTATATAAAATGTCTAAAACGGAGAGATAGTAAAGGAGCAAAAGTCACTGCCATCTGTATTACGTACTATTCAAGTCCACAATGGCAAGTTCAGATCCCGACGTCACGAGCGCCTGTCCCATAACCAACCCCAACCCGCGGGCACCGCCCGTAACGACAGAAACGCGCCCTTCCAATGAGAAAGACGCCAGCGTCCGCTTGAAATGTATGCCACCACGGCCCAGCACGATGGGAGTACGGGGCATCTCGTGGGCCTCAGGATATTCTACACGAACACTCTCGTCTGTCCGGGCATAGATACCCTCGTGGTCTGCGGTATCTTCTGCGGCCGCAGCAGTGCTCGACTTCTTGAAAGGGTCATCATCTCCCTTACCCCTTCTGCTGTCTCTACCCTTGTCCATTAAAGAAGGGGTTGTTGAGATGCAGCGGGCGAGAGAACGCCTGGACGTGCACCGTGTAGCAGCTGCCGTGCTCCTGGAGCCATGGCAGGAAAGATGAACTGCCTGGCAGATAATTGATGGCTTGAACATGATACCTTTTACTGTGATGAGATTGGGATGGTTTTATCAGTAAGGTATCCTGCATTAAAGTAAGAGTTAGTCATGTTGACATACAGGGGTATTTGGCATTGATATAAACGATGTAGGAATAGGGTTTCAGGGTCGGGAATTATAGTTTGCCAAACATCTGGAAAATTGGGATAATTATGACATCCGTCACCGAGGAACAAAACTCACCAGGATTTGGCCCAATGGAGTCTGGAAACACCTTGCGGGCTGGAGAATGCGGGATATCTCCCCACGGGGAAAACAGTTCAGCGCAAAAGCCCGAACCAATTCAATTAACAAATATAAATATCAAATTCCAAGAAAACGGGCATTGTCTTAATTGAAAACTCAATTCCTCTTTTATCCGACATCAGATGGATGTCAAAGATATTTCTCGCAGGGGAAAGCATTGCTCAACGGATCTGCGTGCGACCAATCTAGCAACGGCATCGATTATTAATGATAACTAACTACTCCGTCGGCTACCTTGGAGGATCGTCGGATCAGATGACGAACTCTCTCCAATCTTGGAACTTATCAAGACATTTGGAGCCCGGCGTGGGAGATGTGCGAGAGGAGAGACCATAGAGCTTCCAAAAGAGCCAGGCTCTTGCTAGACGGTGAACAGCCCCGAAAAGACCCTCAGTCTAGCAGCAAGAGGCGACTCATGGAGCTTCAGATGTCATGCTATTTTAACTAATGCCGTCTCATTCGCCACTTAAGGGAAACGCCGAGACCTTTCTCTTTATGAAAATCCACTGAAATCGTTGTTGTATGCGTTTGCCTCCGCGTGAGCTGCCTGCTCAAAATGTTGACCGCAGTTTTGAAATCCGCATGGGAAGGGAGCTCAACACCTGCTCAGCAACCAGCTGAAATTCTTCTTAATCATTCTCCAATTCTTATACACTGTGGAAATATTATTTGTAAGCTCATCTCTTAAGATTTCTCTTCTTAGAAACACGGTTTCTTATCAGATTAATAATTACTTCAAGGTTAATTTGTCAGTTGTGATTTTCAATATCATCCCAAACTCTTTTAAAATCAGATAGTTACTACTGCTTTGCTCTTCATGCCAAAAATAACATAGAAAACTTCATCATCCATATGAACATGGTATTTCCCCTTACTCTATATACGTACATACATACATAGCAAATCGGGGAAAAAAAAAAATAAAAAATAAAAAATATTATGAGACATATTCCTGAACTCCTGTTAAAAAGTCGTCCAAACTTAAAACATCCTCTCAACAATGATGTCGGATGATAATGAGTGCTGTATCCAATGTCCATATCAGAAAGAACCCCATTGCGCATCACGTATCGACATATTAAGTGGCCAGAAGGCAATTGCTCACCGCGTCACTGCAATTTCGAATAGATTATATATAGACTAAGAAGCCTTCTCAGACCCAGAGGAAGCGTCTGCAAACTCGACAAGCGCTGTCCCCGCTTTGCATATGTCCTAAATGTCGTAGTTGGCACCGGTTAGTGGGTGATTAAGTGCGGATTTTATGTTGGAGTTGTATGGTTGTATCCCATGTGCATGGATGGCAGTGATAGCCAAAGCAGAAACCACAAATAAAGCCTGAGAAAACCGGGGGATTGGAGGGGATGGGTGCAACGGAAAGTTCTCCCGGATATATTATTGGGGAACGCCCGTAGAATAGCGGAAGCGGCAAGCAGTAACAAAAGATAAAGAAAATTAAGGTGTAAAGACTTACCCCAGCCTTATGCACAATCTTCTCAATCGTCCCATCGTGCGGACTCCGGATGACAGTCTCCATCTTCATACTCTCAATAACCACGAGCGGCTGGTCTTTCACCACCGTCGCCCCCTCCGCAACTTCCACCCGCAATATCTTACATGGCATCGGCGCCAACACGCTATTCGCCGTATCCTTAATCCTCAACGCCTTCTCCATCCATTTCGCCCGCGGGATCTTCAACCGATATTGCCTCCCCCGTTGGAATGCGGTGATAATATCTTCATCGCGAATAATTGTCGTGTTAAGTCTCGTATGTGGGAAGAACGAGGCGATAACGTTAGAAGACGGGGCAGAATGTTGCTGCTCAACCTTGACGTTCTCAAAACTCTTTCCATTCACGACAATGTTGAATGTTGCATCGCCCGTTTGTTGTATTTGGACGTTAAAAGGCGCAGTGCTCGCTGTGGTTTCTGAGGGTGTCTGTGCGGCTTCTACGAACGCAAACTGCCGCTCTTGATATGCAGGACTAAACCCAACCGTTTCCCCAGCTGGACCCGCCACCTTCGCACCGCTCGCGTCGTTGAGAAGGCAAGATAATGCAACCTGTGCCAAAACCTCATCTTCAAGGGGTTCCTTGGCAAACAGTTCTCCCTTGTGCTTCTCGATGTACCCCGTCTCCACGTTCCCGGAGACGAAGTCTGGATTCCTGCAGACCCGCTTCAGAAATTCTATGTTGGTGATGGGTCCTGCGATTTCATATTGCTCCAGCGCCATTTCTAGGTTCCGTAGAGCTTCGGTCCGGTTTGATCCTCGGACTATCAACTTCGAGATCATGGGATCGTAATGCGACGAAATTTCATCTCCAACAATGACACCAGAATCAATCCGCACATCCTCTGTCGTTTCTGGGGTTCGAACGTGTAGCAGACGGCCGGAGTCCGGTATGAATCCTTGATCTGGATTCTCAGCGTAGATTCGCGCCTCAATGGCGTGGCCCTTTGTCGACATGATGGCTTCAATTTCATCCTGTGTCAACGGCAAAGGTGCACCTTCCGCAACCAAAATCTGCCAGTGAACCAGATCCTGCCCCGTAACCATTTCCGTAACCGGATGCTCGACTTGTAACCGGGTATTCATCTCCATGAAGAAGAACTCCCCAGTGTCATTATCAAAGATGAATTCCACAGTACCCGCTCCTTCGTAACCAACAGCCAATGCCGCTGCACGCGCCTTATCCCAAAGATCCTTCCGCGTAGCTTCAGGCAAATGCGGCGCAGGGGACTCCTCGAGGATCTTCTGATGACGTCGCTGGATACTGCAATCTCTCTCACCTAACGCCACACAGTTGCCATGTTTATCTGCAAACACTTGCACCTCGATATGTCGTGGGGTCGTAATATACTTCTCAACCAGCATTGTGTCATTCCCAAATGAATTCATCGCCTCTGATTTAGCAGAGATAAGTTGATCCCGGAATGTCTCTTTGGAGCTTGCGATGCGCATTCCCTTGCCACCACCTCCCTTGACCGCTTTGATTAGAACAGGGAATTTAATCCTCTCCGCCTCCGCCTCGAGGAAATCCATATCTTGGTTTTCTCCGTGATAGCCGGGAACGCATGGGACGCCAGCTGTTGTCATAATTTCCTTTGATCGACTACTCATTGCAAATAAGCATGTGCCCACAGAGATTATGCAGCACATCCAAGGAATATGTCCCTACATACCTCTTATCACCCATCGCCTCAATAGCTTTAGGTGGCGGTCCAATGAAGACCAATCCAGCCTGGGTGCATTTTTGCGCAAACGTCGAGTTCTCGCTCAACTACAAACAATATAAACCTCACTGTCAGTCTTGTGGTCCATACAACATTGCCCTTAATCCCCAACTCGGGGCGAGCAAAAGGAAAATGAAATAAATATTCCTCACAAAACCGTAACCGGGATGTATACCCTGGCACCCTTCCTTCTTCGCTATTTCAATAATGCGGTCACCGTCGAGATACGCTGATGTTTCGCCCACATTAAATGAGAATGGGGAGCTCAACGCGTGCTGGGCTCTGGCGTCCGGGTCTGTGTATAGAGTCGTTACGCGAATGCCATGCTGTGAAGCTGTTCGTCCCACTCGTCTGTGAAGGTATACGTAAGATTCTTTCCTTTCGTCATCCATCTATGCGCACTGTATGTACGGTTTACCATTGTGATAGTGGTGGGACGATTTGTTTAACTCACAGGGCGATCTCGCCGCGATTGGCGATGAGGATGGAATTGAGCGATCTGCTCTCGGGGCCACTTGACAGTGACGAACTGGCGCGAACTGCTGCTGTTGCTGAGGCTGGTTTGAGAACCGCTGCCCTCGATCCCAGGCGGGAGGTGGTGGCCGGTAGTCGAGCGATAAATGACATTGGGGCAGGCACTGGTTCCACAGCCAATCAACGCCCAGGTGAGGGAGAAAAAAAAGGAGCCGTTTCTTCCGGAGAAGACGACAACCAATTTGAAAATAAATTAATTAAATCAAAATATATATATTAAAACGAGATGGTGGTGAGCAATGAAATCGCATACACCATGAACTATGACGGCACGGTGTAAATATTGAGGATGTCGTTGAAGCGGTTGAAGAGTTGGCCATTGCTTTGATTGTTTTTCGCCGACGGAAAGCGCAAACAAACACCTAGTCGAGCCAAGACTCCGACGCTCCACGTGGGGAATGGCGGGCAGAGAGCGGAATGGCAAGATTAACCGAATTGCGGAGGAACGGCTTGGCAATAGTCAAGTGGGGGAGTGCATCGAGGGTGGAGATAAATAAATGTAACATACCAGCTGTTAGTGAATAGCTGCTAATGATTCTCACTTACATGATCCATCAATTGAATTTTGATAGTTTAAAGAATATGATGATGATGATGATGGTGAGATCCGCTGTTCTTAATAGCACATCATCATCATTGCCATAACATCATGAAAGGATCAATAAATAAATCACCAAGTCTCACAATCCCGACACTAACAGCTGATTGAAATCCCTCTCCCTCGAACTAGCTCTATGGATTTGAATTTGAATTTGAAAAAAAGAAAAGAAAAGAAAAGAAAAGAAAGGAAAGGAAAGGAAAGGAAAGGAAAGAAAATGAGTAAACAATTAGACTGTAATTATAGAAAGAAGTCTTCACTCTATATGTCCAACGTATTCCCTCTTCGACATAGCCACCCGCCCCATAACAGTATGAAAATCAGCAAAACAAGATGATAAACTGCCTCGAAATATCCACCCATTCAC